TCTGGTAGATGTACTGAGAGACTTCAGGAGCCCTATAGCAAAAACCAAAACATAGCAGACAGCCTCTTGTAGCAACAACACAAAAAGCAGAGATCCGTTCTCATGAATCAAGAGCAGCAATCTGGTTTAAGGAACAAAGTCCCAATGTTAGGAAACCGCTTGATTTGCCTAAAAGATAACTGCTAACACACTAATAACTAAGAATAAATATTTACTTTGTAATCAGTTCCATTCAGAGGAACAACTCACCATATTATTTTGATCTCTAAGATTTTAGGCAAGCCCAGCAAAAACAAAGCCACAGATTGGTCCCTATTTAGTCAGAACAGAAATCACATCAGCACTGTGTGCATGTTCAAACATGACAAATATTTTAAATAAAAAGAATGCCACATGCACAAAGTCTGTCAGTAGCAAGGTCATCTCTACGACAGACTAATAAAAATAAATTAGACTTACAGTCAACGTTGAGCTGCTGCAGACCCGGTTCTCACAGCTCAGCCTCTGACTTTTCTCATCTGGAGTGGTGTTAGCCAAGAAGGCCCTCTGGAGGACACGCTTGGGGGTCTTAGTGAAAGAAAACGCCCTTGTTACCTAAATGAAACAACAAACAAGTTATGTGTTTTTGTTTTTAAGACATGTCTGTTAGTTTTCTTAAAAGCAACATGGTGGCTAATTTCATCATGAAGAAACCAACAAAAACTAGTTTGGGTCATTGTTCTATGAAGTTCTTACGACTAGAGGTGCACTGATTGTAGTTTCTGGCGGATCCAAAGATCTTTAATCACTGAAACCTGATGATTCCCACTTTGGCTGATACCAATATTTTTATATACATCATCAAAGTTGCTAAGTTGGCAACAGTAGGGTGACTGCTAACCGTCCAGTGCAGAGACCTGGTGGTGGGGGGGCTGATTTTCAAACCTTTGTTTAGTAGATAAGACCGGCCGATCACTGTTTACCAAAAATTAAGAAAATCTGGGACAATCAATTGATTGGCCAATCAGTGTACACTAGTTATGATTAACATAAAACTCCAAATCCTTGCAAACTGTTACAGTAAGCAAGGGTTTACTGATCTTAGATTTCTTTTTTTTACTCTTCCAGTCAGACAGTTAAAGCTGCAGAGAGAACTGACCATCTCAGTCTTTTTATGAACATAAAAGAAATCCCTTCAAACAGAGAAACATCCCAACCCCGTTAGTAAGGAGGTGCTAAGATAGCAAGTGATGAACAATAACAGTATTTATGAAAATATTTTGAGGTTTTAGTAACTTTAGTTAGTCTTAAAGTTACCTTAATTTTCTGTAGAACTCTCTTATAAACGGTAATAGTTCTGACAAACGTTTTCCTTGCAGAAGCTTCTCAGAACAGCTTGCTGGAATTCTGGATCATTCCCACTGACAGAACTGATGTATCTGAGACAGGTTTATAGGCCATGTTTTATGTTGCTTCTAGAGTAATGGCTTCTTTCTTTCACAGTGGCCCAATGTCAAAAAATGAAGCAGTAAATTTGGACAAAATAACTTTCAATCCACAACCTCCCTAGTTACACCAATGCTCCCAGACTCGATCCAGTCTACAAAAAAAGAAATTAAAAAAAAAAAATCATAAAGGATAAAAATACTTTTCATATATGTGTGCACCACAGATGAGGACACTTAGCATAACAGCTCATGATACAACATTTGTGAAGTTATCTATTAAAATGGACCAAGAGCTTCATTTACTTATACCTCAAAAGCCCAGGAGAACAGACTCTCTGAGTTTCAAGAGAAAAAGAAAAAAGAAAAAGATGGTTCAGAGTAGGGCTGGGGGATATATCGAGTTATACTCGATGTATCCCGAAATTTTCAATTTACGATAGTTAAAATGGCTATATCGCAACCATCGAGTATAAATTATCGTTCAAATGATAAACTTTTGCCGTCAAATTAACTGCGAGTATGGTTTATCCGACACCCTATGAATACATTACTTGTGCCTCGCCCCTCCCAACCCGAAAATTTTCTACGAATCACGCTGCGCGGATAAAACCGAACAACATGGTGACAGAGGGAGTTTGAGGCGAGCCGTGAAGGAGACAATAACTGAAGAGGAATCAGATGAACTAGTCTAGTTCCGAAGAGAAACACCGCTGGATCAATAATTTGGCAGTGGTTTGGATTTTATATGGAGGATGTCGAACAAAATGAGGTAATTTGCGAAACATGTTATCAAACTATTGCCACAAAAGGTTGAACCACAGATTTATTTCACCACCTAATCAGCAGTGGAGAAAGTACTCAAAAAATGTACTTAAGTACAAATACACAGACAAAAATGTTCTCACGTAAAAGTCAAAGTACCACATTAACATTTTTACTTGAGTAAAAGCAAAAAAGTATTGGCTTTTAAAAATACTTAAGTATTAAAAGTAAAAGTACTTGCTGAATGCATTACCTAATCGCTAATACAATATCATTAAGTGTACATATTGTATTTAATTGTGTTTACTCTCTGTAACACGATCATATACCCGGGCCGTGACAGAGGCAAATAGCACTGAAGAAAGGGATGAAGATCAAGGATATTTGAAAAACAGGTAATAGCATTCTTCAGTAAAAAGGGCATCATCATTGATAATAATGGCATTGAAGCTTGTCATCCTCTTCCACAAAAAAACAAAGTAGTTAAACCTGCCATTGTAATGAGGTTTACAAACAGGAAAGATAAAAATGAACTCCTAAAACAAGGGAGGAAATTAAATGGATCAAATGTTTATATAAATTAACATGTATTAACATGAAATTAACATGTAACTTATAAAAAAGATAATTTCTGATATTGCAGACCCACTGACTTACATCTGCAACTAGTCATTCATAACTGGAACATTTCCAAATGCAATGAAAATTGCAAAAGTTATTCCTCTATTTAAATCTGGCGATAAGCATATTTTTAATAATTATAGACCTGTCCCTTTTTTGTCAATTTTCAAAAATACAAGAAAAAGTGTTTAGTAAAAGGTTAGATAATTTCATTGACAAGCAAAACATTCTGATAGATTGTCAGTATGGCTTTAAAGAAATCCGATCAACTTCAATGGCACTGATGGCGTTAACAGAAGAAATCAGGCAGTATGGATAAAAGGAAATTTGCAATTGGTGTATTTCTGGATTTCAAAAAAGCCTTCGATACCGTCAATCATGACATCTTACTTAAAAAAAACTGGAAAGGTATGGAATTAGAGGGGTGGCATTAAACTGGCTTAGAAGCTACACTGGAGAAAGGAAACAATTTATGGAATTAGATGTTTAGAAGTCGGACTTACTAAACATAACTTGTGGGGTTCCACAGGGATCAGTGTGGGGGCCCAAAATGTTCAATTTGTATATAAATGACATAGACAAAGTATCAAACCTTATATTATATTTGCAGATGACAAGTATTTTCTGTACTGGAGAAAACATTCAACAACTCTCAGAGGTGTTCAATACAGAAATGAAAAAACTACAACATTGGTTTAAAAACAATAAATTAT